CCCCTGAATTCTGATATAAACTCACAATTCGGATTTTTTCCCCCTGAATTCTGTGATATGAACTCACAATTCTGACTTTTTCCCCCCTGAATTCTGATATAAACTCACAATTCTGACTTTTTTCCCCCTGAATTCTGTGATATGAACTCACAATTCTGACTTTTTTCCCCCTGAATTCTGTGATATGAACTCACAATTCTGACTTTTTCCCCCTGAATTCTATATGAACTCACAATTCTAACGTTTTCTCCTGAATTCTGTGATATAAACTCACAATTCTGACTCCCCAAAATTCTGTGATATAAACTCATAATTCTGACATTTTCCCCTGAATTATGTGATATAAACTCATAATTCTGACTTTTTCCCTGAATTCTGTGATATAAACTCATAATTCTGACATTTTCCCCTGAATTATGTGATATAAACTCATAATTCTGACTTTTTCCCTGAATTCTGTGATATAAACTCATAATTCTGACATTTTCCCCTGAATTATGTGATATAAACTCATAATTCTGACTTTTTCCCTGAATTCTGTGATATAAACTCATAATTCTGACATTTTCCCCTGAATTATGTGATATAAACTCATAATTCTGACTTTTTCCCCTGAATTCTGTGATATAAACTCATTCTGTGATAAACTCAATTCTGACTTTTTCCCTGAATTCTATGATATAAACTCATAGTTCTGACTTATCCCCTGAATTCTATGATATAAATTCACAATTCAGATTCCCCCCCCTGAATTCTATATGAACTCACAATTCTGACTTTTTCTCCTGAATTCTGTGATATGAACTCACAATTCTGACTTTTCAATTCTGACTTTTCCCTGAATTCTATTATATAAACTCATAGTTCTGACTTTTCCCCTGAATTCTATGATATAAATTCACAATTCAGATTCCCCCCCCTGAATTCTGTGATATAAACTCACAATTCTGACACTTTTCCCCTGATTCTATTATATGAAATCAAAATTCTGACTTTTCCCCCCTGAATTCTGTGATATAAACTCACAATTCTCATGTCCCCAGAATTCTGATATAAACTCACAATTCTGACTTTTTTCTCAGAGTAGTGAGATATAAACTTGTGAGTTATAAAGTTAGAACTGAGATATAAACACGCAATTGTAAAAAAATTGTCTTTTTTTTCACAGAATTTAACTGTATAACTCGCAATTGCAAGTTGATATCTCATAATTCTGAGAAAAGAAGTCAGAATTGCAAGAAATAAGTCAGAATTTGTGAGAAAAAACATTTGTATTGCGTTTCCATACAATTCACTTACTGCCACAAAGAATATTCAGTGTACTGATTTTAGAAACTGAACAAAAATATCCAGCACTTTTCACATGTACAAAATAAGGCTTAAAATTGTATTTATTTAGATTAAAAGGAAAATATTAGTATTTAAAATACCAAATTAGGGGGTCAAATGAAAAAATTTACTTTTTTTTTTTTAATGAAATTATTTACTTGTATAAGCCTGGTGTATTAAACAGGTTTGTTTGTTTATTTAAATTAATTAATTCATTAATGTATTTATTTATTTGTGAATTTATTCATTCGAGTCTAGATGTTTCCATTCCCTGCAGATGTTTGTTTTTTTTGGTTGAGGTTCCCAGTAAATGTTAACAAACACCCAGAGATTTTTTTTTTCTACAGCATGATGAAAAGATCGCTTTATTAATTTTTTGAGAGTTTTACTTCTTATTTTGTACGGTGTTTGATAAGTTCTTATTGTCAGTATTGTAAATTGGTCTTCTGCAAACAGCCAGTCATTTGAGTTCTTTCCAATAGACTTCACACATTCAAAGGGGTTTATAGGTTTTACGCCATTATTTTTGGCTCTATGCTTGTGCCTTCCCTTGACATCTCCATGGATGTGTTTAATGATGGGATGTCTTCTGCTGTATTAAGCAGGTTTATCCACACGAGGCAGGATGTTTCGTTATCGTTTAGATGACATGTTGAGCTCACACTACCCTGGATCGGCAAACAACGGCCTGCTGTGGCACAAACACACAAGCATTAGTCTCAGCGAAAGAATGTGCCGTGTGTGTGAAGATGTGGGTGAGCGATTGGACTGAGTTTGGTTCAAACCCACGCTGTTTATGGCCGGTTAAATTGAGCGTGACTGTGAACAGATGTGAGCAGTCATTTCAGCTCTACAGGGACGGGCTGCTGGGATCACCATCAGCCTTGTGCTTTAAAACACCCAAAACTTTCAGAAGTCCAGAAGTCTCACATTATTTCTGTGCTTTGATGTGAGAGGGCTGCATTGCTGCGGGTGTCATAGTGTTGCATGTGTAAATGTGATATGAGACTGATTGTGATATCATGATCCTGTAGGTCGCACCACATGAGGAAAGTGACAGTGACTCCAATCTTTGACTCACAGATGAAATCACAATGACTGCCCTTAAAGGTTTAGCTCACCGAAAAAAAAGAAGAAGAAATTTCTGTCATCATTAACTCAAACCTATTTGAAGCTGAATATTGGTAACCTAACTGTTTTATATGGACGTAAAAATAAGAAATAAATAAAAAACACTGAGACATTTTTTTTTAAATGTTCAGTAGAAGAAAGAAAGTAAATGCTAAATGCTGTAAATGCTGTTTAATCCAATCTTTCAGCCAAACAGGAAGAACATTCTGAAAGAAATTCTCAAAAGTATATACAGAATTGTTTTCATTTCTTTCTGTTAAAGTTGGCAAGAAATTAAAAAAAAAGCATGTTATCTATTTTCTAAATGCATTTTATTGATGTTATTGTAAACAATGAATTCATGCATGTTTAATTTTTATTTATTGTTATTATTATTATTATTGATTTTGTCATTTTAAATCAAAACTTAGTCCTAACTCGATCTTCCAGTGAAAGGACAGGACTCTCTGGTGACATGTGGCAGTTTTCTCCAATCATTTAGTCTGCTTAAACCTGCCCTTTTCTTACATTCGACTGCAAACTGCAAGCTTACAATCAACTGCCTCCATCCAAACAACAACCGATGGATAGAACCAAGTCTTCGCGCCACACAATTTTTACAAATGTCATTAGAAATGATCTGTCAATAGAATAGAACTTTAAATTAGAAAAACTGAAATTTTGATGTTTATTGCTATATTATAGTTTTTTTTATTGATGACCACTGTTTGAAAAGCCCTGCTCTGCACTATGAAATGAAACTCAAACCCAACCTTGTTATGTCTCCTAAACTATGAAAGCACAACCTCAGAGCAGTCACATGGTCCTCTGTGCTCTTTCTGTCTCAGGTGAGGAGAGGGGTCGCTGCTTCACCATCGAGTATGTGATGCCCATGAGCGTTCAGCTGACCAGTGAGTCTACTGTCAGTGTCCTGAGTAAGTGATTATACCTTCATGACAAACAAATCATTGGGTACTCCAGCAGTTCTGCAAAACTGGTTTTACTTCAGGATCCAGATTTGGGGAGACGGAGTTAGTTAGTTTAAATAGCCTTTGCCAACTTTGCCTTTGCACTTGGAGGGATAGTTCACCCAAAAATAATTTACTCGCCCTCAAGTACTCAAGTTGTTCCAAACCTGTATGAATTTTATCTTCTGTTGAACATAAAAGAAGACGGTTTGAAGAATGTGGGTAACCAAACTGTTGCTGATCCCCATTGGCTTCTATAATATGGAGAAAAAAAATATACTATGGAAGTCAATGGGGACCTGCAACTGTTTGTTTACCCACATTCTTCATAAACTTATTTTTTGTTCAGCAGAAGAAATAAATTTGGGTGAACTATCCTTTTAATGCAAATAGACACTCTTTAACCTTGCATAGTTTCGCTCATAGTTTTTGAGGATGAGGGCATGTCATGCAACCAGTCCATGCTGTCATTCTAAATATCCTAACCACTCTGCACAATTATATGGTTCATTTTGTTATTTGCAGTTAGCATTGCTGTTTCACTGCTGTCAGAACAGAACAACTCCCATATTTAAAATCCATATAATATATTCACATCCAGTTGCATAAACTGCTTATACAATCCAAAACGGTATAGCTAGCGCAGGATGGGTGATTATTAGCTGTCAGTTTTGAAAGCTGTTTTAGAGGCTTCAGCGAGTTTATTTCGGTGTGCCGTCCTGTCAGTGTGCTGGTAATTACCCCGCTGAGGGTCTGAGCTGATGGACAGCAAGACAACGCTGTCAGCAGCTTCATTAACAGTCACTCACATGCTTCACAGAAATAGCGCTCCTCTCATGACTCAACTGACATTCACAGCTGATTCCAGAAGTTAGCATGCTAAGCTAATGACTGACACACCACACGCTTATTGTACAAAAGCATTTGAATAAAATTAAACCGTTGTTTCCTACACTGCTGTTTTTTGTCTGCACGCAAAAACAAACATACAGCACGACCAGTATAGACCGACTGATGAACTAATGACTTTTTTAGACTTATAACTATAACAATAACTAAAGTGTTATTTTACATTTTATATATGCTATATTAGCATACACACCAACAAATGAAAATGTTAAGAATAATAGCAGGGTGCACTAAAAGGAAAGATTTTGATTGGCTGTCAATTTTTTTATCATTCGTCGACTGGAAGAACGATATCGTGTTATTACTGTGTAATTATCACTATAGCTGAACAGTTTTAAAACTTTAAGGTTACAGTTAACTTTATACACTGTAAAGAGTGATTAATGACTTCAATTAAAAAAAAACACATTGCCTTAAAGTAAATCAATTTCATACCTAAAAAAGTAAGTTATGTGTACCTGAAGTTATACTGACAATTAGAATTTATTAAAACTAAAAAAGAAAATGTGCTCACTTTCTTATGTTGTGCTAAATTAAGACGATTAAATTATGACTTAAAGTAGAACGTCTCGGTTACGTATGTAACCCTCGTTCCCTGAAGGAGGGAACGGAGACGTCACATCGGTGACCGATGAATTGGGATCTCGGTTAGAGAGACCAATCCACTTCGAGTGTAAACTAAACGAGCCAATGCACATTGGCATGCTGTAATTGCATCCAGCTGCCGTATACCAGGTGCAACGCATACCAGGTTTTTGCCGAGGAGCCGAGCCGGTGACCCGTCCGCTCAGCGGTGGTACAGCAGCCGTGGTGACGGGACGTGATGTCTCCGTTCCCTCCTTCAGGGAACAAGGGTTACATACGTAACCGAGACGTTCCCTTTCAGTCGGTCACTCTCGAAGTCACGTCGGTGACCGACGAATTGGGATCCCTACCAAAGCGCCATGGATGCTGCCCCTTCCAGTGTCCTGTGCGAGCCGCCTGCGCCCCTTTTTGGGCTCGCAACAAGAAGACCAGTCATTGTTGTCATAGCACTACCCACTCAGTGAGATTGGATAACACTGGGAAAACGTATCCGTACCACTTGGAACAGGAACGTTGCGGAAGCCCCAATCCTTCCCGAAGGAGGTTTCGGAAGCACTTACACATATGAACAACCGTTTAGGTGCATATGGAAGA